TCCTATTTATTATAACCAAACAAGAATATTTTCAATAAGGATATAAAACATGGATGGCTGAGTTGGAGGCATTTGGTTTAGAGCAGTGGTTCTCAACCTTTTTAATGCCGCGACTCCCAACCGGTCGTAAGTCGAGGACTAAACCGGTTGTAAGTTGAGGACTAAACCGGTCGTAAGTCGAGGACTACCCAACCGGTCGTAAGTCGAGGACTTTCCCTGCCCGGGAGCGCCGCGCATGCGTGGTTCCGCCCCCTGCGCCGGCCGAGGTGTAGCTGGCAAGCGGCAGAGACGGAGCAGGCCGACCACCAGCTGGCCCAGCTCAAGGGAGGTAAGGCACCCGCCGGAAAAGGGGAAAAAAATGGCGGACAGCCTTGCTTGGCGACCCCCGTGAAATGGTCGATCGACCCCAAATGGGGTCGCGACCCATAGGTTGAGAACCGCTGGTTTAGAGTTAACAAAGAAAAGTTTATTTAGCCACAATTTCCAACAACCATTCCTTACCTTGCTTCCTTTTAATGTTCTTATTGTGTTCCTTCCTAGAAGTTTCTTAACATAGACTCCAAAGTAAGTAGTAACTTAATTTTGACAGATACTCTGTTCTTGACTTTTGTGCCTCAGCAGCAGCAGCTGGGGAGAAGATAAATAGCTACTATCACTTGAAGTGACGATAGGAAGCAGTGATAGAGAGTAGGGGAGCCAAAAGGGCAGAGATGGGGGAAACATAAGTAAATGGAGGAGGGTAAATACACACTGCAATCACAAATGTGGATGGACCTGAATTTTGATTGTCTGAATGCAGTTGCCCAATTACAATGGCTGTAACTTTAAGGGTCAGCCACTACCATTTGTCCAGGATTGTTGTAACTTTGAATGGTCACTAAATAAATGGTTGTTAAATAAGGACTATATGTAAACATGTCATGAAAATTAGAAGGTTTTATAAAAGTCTGTCACTTCCAGCTGTCCTTCCCCTGGGTGAAGTTCGCTGTAGCACTCCAGTTTTTCCTACTGAGTTGCCCTTCCTGGCCCCACATTCTGAAGTACAGTAGTTACACATCAGAAGTAGAATAGACTATACTACCTCCCGGTCTTTTAGTGGAAGTGCAATATTTCTCAAATAGTTTATATTTCTAATTAAAGCACTATCATATTTGTGTTAATTAGTTCAAAGAAAAAATGAAGAAATACCCTTTTCTAAATTTTGGGCCCGATTATGGATTATAAATGTTTAACATAGCATATAAATGAAGCAAATGCTCATCTAGATAGAAAATTATTTCATTACTGAAAAAAAAATAAAACAAAATATTATTTGCCTATATGACACTCATATCAGAAAAAGGATACAAAGTATTTGATTTATAAAACTTTGTGTGAAGAATTTATTTTACCAGATATCAAAGAGAGATGTTGAATTGTCTTGTATATTAACCCTCAATTAAAACCAGAACTTGCATTGATTGACTGTTCTCACAAGGCCTCCTGCACTCCTTACCTTATTGCCATGCGTCTCCCCTCAGGGGCTAAAGGTCTTGCTTGGATTTCAGCTCCCTAATCTCTGGGAGAAGTTAAAAGTGTCTCTGCTGAAGGATTTCAGCTCAGTACCTGCTTTGCACTGAAATCCTTTGGCAGAGCAGGCACAAAGAATTTTCTTTTTTTACTTTTATTTATTTATTAAATCTCTACTGACAGATTTCAGCTCCATGCAAGCAGGCATGAAGGATTTTAGTTCTGTACAATAGGTACAGAGTTGAAATCCTTTGGCAGGGAGCTCTTTCAGCTACTCTCCAGAAACAAGATGGAAGCCTCTTGGCAGGTAGCAGCAGCTTGTAACCTTTCCTGCAGGCTTCTCCATTGACTTTTTGGGGAAGCCAGCAGAGAATATTGCAAATGGCAATCACAGAATATAGCATGCTTGGTAACTGGTCATAAGTGCAAATGTGTTGCCAAGCATCCAGATTGCAATCACAGACAGCAGGGGGGAGGGTTGTGACATAATATAGGATATAAATGAATAAATATTATAGTGGTTGGAATGTTTTACATCACAGCCCATTATTAATCTGAACCATATTTAAGCAGTTAACTATCGTTCCTTCTCTTTTTTTTCACTTCGCATTAGTTTTTCTTAATTTTTTTTAATTTTAAAAACTTGTTTGTGTGTGTAGAAATTTTCTGAAGGACAATATAGTGAATATTCCTATACACTGATTAAACATTATCACTTGGTCAGTTTTTAACAACATATATCAATAATTCCCAGTTTTAAAACTGTAGCATGGTAACATAATATTTCTTTAAGAAAGGCTGGGGATTTATTCGTTTTTGTTTTACTTTTGTGGTTCTCCCTTTGGCTATGATGGGTTTGTGATTTATTAATAGCACAAACGGACATCTCTACAAATACAGTGTATGGAATTGTATAACTGTGTACATCCCAGACTTCATGCTTAATTTAGTAACACCTTTGTTTCAAAATAGAAAGCTCACATATGCAACAGGTTTCTTTGATCTGTCTTCCAGAGTCTATATAGCAAAATGAAACCAAGCTCACAGGAGTGACATTAGTTACCTCAAAAGTTGGTATTTTCTGATTATACTACACAATGTTCCTAAGTTAATGTATTTTGGTTACTAAAGTGCAGTTAGCTGTTATAAACCAGTGCCAATGGTCCCTTTTGTAGTTAGCAGGAATTTTCACTAAGATAAAGTATAGTCAGCAAGCAGTGGCCCTCAAATATCTGCATAATTAGGGATATATTTCATAAGATAGACACAGGTCGTTAGAAAAACAATGCTGCAAATCCAGATTTTCAGGAGTTGCAACTTGCAGAACAGCTTCAACCTTTTTTGATTCAAGTTTAATTCCTTCAGCTGAGACATATCCTGATATAGCAATTTCTTCAAGACCAAAGTAGTATTTGCTTTCATTTGGTTTAAGTTCTCTTTAATGGCATCAGCCAAAAACTCCTGTCAGTGTATGGCAGAGCTCTTGAACAGTTGCTGTATAGCTAACAACATCAACCATATGCCAACAAGAAGAGCCCTCAGGCTAAACTCTATTGAATTTTGATAAGCTTCCAAAGTACTTGAGATAGGAAACAGTGAACTTTATAGAACCTCAGTTCATTACTATAATTGTCAAATGGCAAGATTCTGCTGCCAATTTTATTTGCCAAAATATTGTGGAACAAGTCCTTGGTTAACAACTGCCTTGTTTAGTGACCATTCAAAATTACAACAGTGCTGAAAAAGTAATTTACAACTGGTCCTTGCATTCATAACCATTACAGCACAATGATTGTAATGTGGTTTGTAGTCTTTCTTTACAGAATATAAAGGCCAAGAGTAGCTTTTCAGGCAAATAATGGATCTTGAGCTACATGAACAGCAATCATATTATTGTTCCAAGCAAACTGCTATACAGCATAACATAAGTATATGGGTGAATAGATCTGTCCATGGAAAAAATGCTGGCAACAATTTTATTCCTTGCTGGAAAATACTGCATAATAAAGACTGTTGCAAATAAATTTCTGTACAATCCCACTATTAATCATGAATTCCTGTTGCTTCCCAATAATGCTGTCATTTTTTTCTTCAGCATTTATAAAATAAACTCTTCCTCTTCCCTATCGTCACTTTTTTGTTGCACTAAAAAACTTACAGATTTTTCCTTGAGAATGTTTATATCCTGGCTATGAAATTATTTCTGGCTTTCTTGTAACAAATTTAAGCTAAAGGACCCATTTGCAATATAAAGATAGTGGTCACTGCATTCTGTGACAACAACAATCCACAATATCACCACCTTTTGCTGATGGATACGATTAATGAAAAGGCCTACAGTTGCTATCAACCCTTTTCATACGTTCTGGTTGTGACGAATAATTTATTCACTCAGATTTTCCTGCTGCAGATATATATCATGCTGAGTTTGTGGAGTTCTTTTTGTACTTATGGTTTTTGTTTTTGTTGTTGGATGTCTGTTAGTTTGTTTTCTTTTCCTCTCTTTGTTTTGTATTTTATCTTTGGAGATAAATAACACAACCACTTTCAGACGGTGTCTGTCCAATCTTTCTCCATCTCGTCTCCTAAATCTTTCCTCTTCCTCTCTGCCACAATGTCTTTTAAGTCTTGTAATATTACACTCTAATCAATTTTTAGTTATTTTTTCTTATTTTCTTTTAAAAGAAGTATCATTATGGTTATCCGCAGAAAAACTTTCTCCCCCCCCCCCCGCAATGTAACTAAGCCTAACCTTGCATGCCAGGTACCTAAATCTATGTCAAATCTACCTTCCAGAGTTGGCAAAAGGCTGAAATTTCACTTTAATGTCTGTTACAGTTATGGCTTTGATACTGATTACCACATCAAAACTATTCACCATATTCAAAGCTTTCCAAGTGTGACAGTTTCCTTATTGAGAAATAGAAGCCACTAGTTCCTTAAATGCTTTCTTAATCTCAGCTCAGCATGTAACTTTTTTTAACTTTTCCATTTCCGGGAGAAAAATATAGCAGTGTGGCAGAGTTAAATAGAGAAATGTAATCTGTGGTTTCTCATTTCTTTACTATTTGTCGGAAAGAAAAAGCTTAACTATAAATATCTATCACTCTATTCCCTTTCAAGATAAACAATGTCATGGTAAATACAGAAAAGAAAAAAGAAATATTAAGCAAAAGAAAGATCATAAGAGAAACAGAAATATAGTTAAAATTAGCTCCATCTTATTCCACCTCCTCTTCAAGTAGAAAAGGAAAGTTAAAAGTACCTGGATACAAAGCTCACATATAATGCAAATCAGCAACATAATCCAATTATTCAAGGTAAGGACTTTTTCAAAAAATAGACACACCTAACTCCAACAACAGGAAAGTACTGCTGTCAAAGCCCTTTGTATCTTGGTTACAAGGCAGGGAAATCTGGTTCAAAGGATTAGTATTGGATAAACAGACAGTAGTGTTAGAGAATAAACAGACAAAAGAGAAACACTTCTAACAAGGGAATGCATTTTCAGCTTAGAAAATTGGATATCCCAGACTCATTTATGTTAAATGCACTACTGTTGTACAGAAAAAGGGAAGTTTGTAATTCTTCCTTATTTTCACAAAGACAGATATTGATTACAGGTAGGCATCAAGCAATTTTAACTTATTTTAAGACAGCATGCCATTCTTTAGAACAACGTTTTCTTGGGGCATATTACAATACTTTTTCTTTTCTCCCCAAAATGATTCTAGTTAGATTAGGTTGGGTCTATTATATTTTTTATCATATTGATAACAATCAGTCATAATCCAAAATGGAATTACAAGAACAAAATGACTCTGATGATTTTTGAGCAATTTTTCTTTTCACAACTACTATACTATTGAATTCATATATTTTTCACTTACAGTGCCCAAGGCTTTCTTCATTTAAGCAGTTCTTTTAAACTGTAAAGCTGAAACTCATGTAGATCAACTGCATTCTACCCAAAAGCTATTCCAAGTACTCAGCTTTTCTATTAATCCTGATCCATAAAAAAAGGTGGCAAAAACTGAAAAAAGAGAGTATCAGACTATAAGTTGTTTGGCTTCTTTAACCATTTGGAAGCTAGAAATATATAACATAAATTAGTTGCAAAGAAGCTCTTCTTAGGCATTACTGGTGATTAGATAACTCCTACTACCACATTTAAAAAAAAGCCTTTAAAGTTTTGTTAAGCTCAGTAAATGCTACAAGGAGTAATGTTTGTTCACGAATCATGGCCCAACCTAGTAACATTAAATATTAACATTGTTAACATTATATAGTAGACCAGATGATTGAGTCTTACTAGTTTTTGTTAGGTTTCTCTTATTCAAGATAATAGTACAATATAGAAAACAAGAAGCAATTTTAGAAATTTTATATATTTATCTAATTTGTGAAACTTAGGACATCTGTGCCCAACATCCAGTAAGAACACTTTCTGGACCAGCAAAGGTATAGGGATAGGAACTTCAAGTAAGCTGCTCACATTGTTCATTTACAATTGAGAGCAAAGATGTTTAAGGCTGCAAGTAGAAATGAATTACTTTCATTAGCTTAGGAAGCAAAATTATCATTTTGTCGGCCAGCTATTTCTGTGTTCTCTCTTCAATTATATCAGATATAATTAAGAAATCTGAGAAAGAAACATCATAATATAACCCTTGTAAAACAGTAGTTTAAATGTAGTCATGGGCTCAGAGAAACCCATCACAAACAAATCAAAGTATTCATGGGATAACTTTAGGCCAGCCACATCTCTAAGTGTACTCTATCTTGAAGGGCTGTTGTAAGGAGCACATGAGATTTTGAAGAGCAATGCCTTGAGCTCCAAGAGGACAGGTTAGATTTGAGTATAATAACAAAACAATAAAAGACTCAATACTATTTTGAATTCCATACAAGTTGTATTTGACTTATTAACTAAATATTTATATTCATAGATTAGGGTTGTGAATCTATGAACTTCATAAGGATAGTCAGCATCATTACATTACTGAAATTAAAAATTCAAAAAAACGGCGGATTTCCAGAAAACTTGTTTCATTTCCTCCCTTAAAATCTCTCCTTCCACAAACTGCACTATTCAAGTTTTGTTGCCTTACAAAGGAATTTCAGTAAGAGGATTTTTAGCAGTTTTCAGATCTTGTATAGATTTTAAAGGTGAGAGTAAAAGCAGTCAGCCTTGTGACCCATTCCTACCTTTAAACTTCCCAAAGTCTGAAAAATTCTGGCCATATCATGGAATGTTTACTGTAACCTTCCAACAGACTGGGAGGTGATAAGTCCTCACTTGTCTCAGTGGCTGGTCACCCATTCCTAAATAACATCTTACTAAATCTAGAATTACACAAGAGATTCCTAGATAAATGCATACACAGCAACATTTTAATCAGTTAACTGTGTTTAATAAGGGAATTTTTTGAATCAATGTAGATATTATCTACAAAAAAATGATTATTTTGGCGGTTACAAATTCTGTTCCAAACTGTTTCAAAATATAAACCTAAATATTAGAGAATGCCTAAAAAAATAGTACAACTTTAACTTTGATTTAACTTCTCCTTTAAAACAAAAATGTCCTAACATCATATTCAAATGGATTAAATTCAACCACTATAAAGCTATAAGGACTGGCAGACTGTATTACTGTGTTTAGAAGTAAATTCTCATTAATACCCAAAAAGATTTTTATAGCTACTAAAAATAAAGTGGCCTTTTTCATTTAAACATTTAAAAAGTTGCACAAAACATTCTGATATCAATAATCAAAAAGGCATTAATTTTATTATTTTTTGTTAACAGTAGGAACTATGGTGCTGAAGGATTTTCCAAGTAAAAAGCAGTTCTCTTTGGGGATATTAGTCAATTAATTTAATAAAGTTCTGTTTTAAGAGGATTTTTCTTTTCTGTTGCGAGGCGAGTCTGCTCCATTTGAGGTTAATGTTCCATTGATTCCATTTTCTAAAAATAAAAAACAAACATAATTAACTCTTTTCTCTGGATTCCAAGCCCATAGATTATGAAGATTTAAAACATCTTAATAGAGAGCTTTAAAATTAATTCAGGGGAAGAAGCTTCAAGCACATTATAAATCAGAATGTTTCTCACAGATGCTCTAACACAGTGGTTCTCAACCTTTTTAATGCCGCGACCCCAACCGGTCGTAAGTCGAGAACTAAACCGGTCATACGTCGAGGACTAAACCGGTTGTAAGTCGAGGACTACCCAACCGGTCGTAAGTCGAGGACTTTCCCTGCCCGGGAGCGCCGCGCATGCGTGGTTCCGCCCCCTGCGCCGGCCGAGGCGTATCTGGCAAGCAGCAGAGACGGAGCAGGCCGACCACCAGCTGGCCCAGCCCACCAGCTGGCCCTGGGAGGTAAGGCACCCGCCGGAAAAGGGGAAAAAAATGGACAAAAAAAATGGCAGACAAAAAAAATGGCGGACAGCCTTGCTTGGAGACCCCCATGAAATGGTTGATCGACCCCAAATGGGGTCCCGACCCACAGGTTGAGAACCACTGCTCTAACAGTATAATGTCCAGTGATTTCTACCAGCCCATTTAAAAATGGTGTTCATTTTTGTTCTAACAAAAAATGACTGCTGAATCATGTTCAGCCACTTTAGAGCATTATGGAAAGGGAGGAAGCAGGTCCTTCTGGGGAAGAGTACAGCTCATCAGTTTTCTCCTTCTAGGTGGTAACATTCTTGCAGCAATTCTACCGAAGGCATGTATGACCATCACTCCTGAATCGCAATGCATTTTTCTTCTCTCTGATCTTGTATTCCATTCTAGCTTTCACTTTAAGAACTTAATAGTTTCAAGGGCTTTGCCCAAGCTTGCTCCTCTCTTCCCCTTTTCTTCATTCCCCAGGCCAAGCCATCTACTAATACTCTAGGGAGAAATAAGCATAACAGTGTTTTTATAAGCTGCTTAGGAAATAGAAGTAGTTCTTGGGTTATGATGGCAATTGGGATTGGAATTTCCATCATTAAGTGATGCGATCGTAAAGTGTGACATTCATGTGATCACACTGTTTAGTGATGGCAATCCTGGCAGTACTGGTTGCCATCATAACGCCAGAACCATGTGGGTCATTAAGTGAGGACCTGAAATAACTACATAGGCAGGAATTCCAGGCAAGCAGGCTGGGGTGTGTATGTGAAGTGGTGCTGCATGTTGGTCTTGTGAAGCAAGAGTAAGCGCCATGGGGTGGGTGCTATGGGGAGTGAACAAGTGACTTGCGACCTCCAGCTGGCTTTCCAATTGACTTTGCTTGTGAGAAGTCAGCAGGGAATTTTGCAAATAGTGACCCTGTGCCTCCAAGACACTGCAGCTATTGTAATTGCAAGCCAGTTGCCCAGTATCCGTTCACGTGACCACAGGAAGGCTGCAACAGCCATAACTGATTTGCAGAAGTTGTAACTTTGAACAGTCACTGAATGAATTTTAGTAACCCAAGAACTACCTGCACTAGATGTCCAATGATGTGTTGCAGACTTATATTAGAGAACTTATCAGATTAAAGCACATCATTTATAGTTTCCTAATTGTGCAAAGCATCTACTTCCCTTTTGTACTTCTGTCAAAAGTATACAGAAATAATTAAAGCACAAACCTCTTTCTTTTTTCGAGAGCTTGCCTTTTGTTGTCGTAAACTTCTTTTTCACTGGTTGAGGAGGTGAAGAATGTTCTCTCCACCTTCTTAATTGGAAATTAATGAATTTCCACATCATAAAGGCCTGTGCTAAACAGATTGATGCCAGCACACTGATTCTATAAAGACCAGATATAGAATATTAGAATTTCTGATGATCCAGACATGGAAAGGATTAGAAAAACTGTTTCTTTTAGGAAGATGTTTCTTGAAGGCCACTAACTAATCTTTACTTTGCTAGATAAATGCCACCACAATATCTGAAGAATAGAAAATATTGTGATAGCATCCTTCCAAGAACTGCAAATACAGTCATAGTCTTCTGTAATAGAAAGTAAACAATGAGTTTACTTTGAAAGTGAACATCAAGTTGTTGCCGCTATTCCTCTTCTTCCTTTTTGTACTTTCTAATTATCAGACACACTAAGCAGTCACTCTCATTCTACCACAAAACTGTAATAGGTCTCTTAAAAGATAACATTGAAAAAAATCAAAGTAAATTTAGTGCCATGTTTTATATATAAGATTAACAAATTTTAGGCCCTCAACTTAATTTCAGATTTTTTTTGTTAAAAATACAGATATAGAACCAAGGAAGAGCTGGTGCCTCTGGGAAAGTTGTTAAAGGAGAAAACAGAATATGCCAAATAATCTATTTTCCTACTAACTTTTAACTTTGGTGCCATTCACTATTAAATATTTTGATAACCATCTAACTGAACTTACAAGTGGCCCTTGATTTACCACAATAATTTGTCAGTAAGTGGTGCAGTGACATGACTGGCCCCCGATTTTATGACTTTTGTTGCTGTGGTCATTAAGCAACTTAACCATGGTCTTTAAGTGAGACATTACATGACCATGACATTACATGACCACTGGCTTTCCAATTGACTTTGTCAGAAACCAGCTGAGAATGTTGTAAATGGTGATCATGTTACTACTGCATGATGCTGCAACTGTTGTTAACTGGCTTCCAAGCACCCATTTTGTAATTAAGTGTCTTCAGGAATTTTGTGATGATTGTTTAAGTGTGAAGATCAGTCTTAAATCATTTTCTTCAGTACCATCACAACTATGAACAGTCGTTAAACAATGGTCATAAGCCAAGGACTACCTGTATCATATAATTATCCTAATTCAACACAGATGGCACAATTAGCAAGCATCTGCTAATTTGGGACATTACAATTTAGTTTTGCCGCATAGATGATTTAAACAAGCCCAGGTGGGAAAATTATGATTTTAAAGCATCATAAAAATGACAAAAGAATTTGCAAAATATAGTAAAAGGTATTTTAAATATTTTTCTTTCTCATAATAATATACCCAATATTCCTAACAAAGACAAGAGTTTTCTCAAGCAATTAGATCAAGAAAAATCTCTCTAAAGATAATTTTTAACTATTTTGTTTTAATATTATATGCTCCATGAACACATATCCGTGTTATACCTGATGGGTAGCACATTAAAGTTTCCAGTACTAAAATCCAAAGTTTGATTCTCTGCTCTAGCAAGGCCAAATCCAACAGTAAGGACAGACAGAATTAACGTCAGGAGTCTTCCCAAAACAAAAAGAACAGCCCACAATGTAAACCTAGCAGAAAGAAATAAAAGATACACGATTTAACAGAATTCATCCACTAATTGTGTTATTCACATCTTCAGTTTCAGACATTTATACACATTATGTACTAAGTATTCTGGATGAATAATTCTGCCTGTTAAGATAAAACATTTCTGAAATGTATCAGGAGAGATTTTTCGGTATATGGTATTATCAAGCTCTGGCACAGATTTGATACAACACTGCTCTTCTCCCACTGATAAATAAAGCACAAGAAACCTTCTGGAAAGGCAGTTATGTACTCTTCAGCTGAAGAATACATTCTAGCAAAGATTCCAAGGTATGGACAGTCCATCCTTTAAAATGAACAGATTTGAGGTCCTTGCATGTAAATGAATATACCAATCATGTTTAATTCTATTTTGAACAAAAAGCTCATATAATCACAGCTACTAATATATGACATACTGCATACATACTTATTTTATCTAAAAGTAGGTAGTATTCACTGTATTGTTATACAGTATACCAGGGGTGTCCAAACTTTTTTCAAAGAGGGCCAGATTGGATGAAGTGAACGTGCTGGAGGGCCGAACATTTTTCCGAACATTCTTTGAACCATTACAATTAAATGCAAATGAATTATTTTATGCCTCTTTCCTCTCCCTCTCTCTCTCTCTCTCTTTCCTTTCCCTTTCCTCTCCCCTCTCTCTCTTTCTTTCCTCTCCCCCTCTTTCTCTTTCTTCTCTCTCTTTCCTCTTTCTCTTTCCTCTCTTTCTCCTTTCTTTCCTCTTTTCTTCTCTTTCCTCTTTCTTTCCTCTCTCTTTTCTCAATCTTTTTTCTTTCCTCTTTTTCTCTTTCCTCTCCCCCTCGCTTTCTTTCTCTTTCCTCTCCTTTCTCTCCCTCTTTCCTCTTTTCCTCTTTCTTTCCTCTTTTCTTTCTTTCCTCTTTCTCTCTTTCTCTTCTTTCTTTCCTCTCCCTTTCCTCTCTTCTCTTTCCTTTCTCTCTTTCTCTTTCCTTTCTCTTTCTCAATCTTTTTTCTCTTTTCTCTTTTCTCTTTCTTCTCCCTCTTGCTTTCTTTCTCTCCCTTTCCTCTCCCCTTCTCTTTCCTCTTTTTCTTTCTTTCCTTTCTCTTTCCTCTCTCTCTTTCTCTCTTTCTCTTTCCCTCTCTCTTTCCTCTCTTCTCTTTCTCTTTCCTCTTTCTTTCTCTTCCTTTCCTCTTTCCTTTCTTTCCTCTCCTTTCTCTTTCCTCTAACTTTCTCTCTTTCCTCTCTTTCTCCTCTTTTCTTCTCTTTCTCTTTCCTCTCTTTCCTCTTTCTCTCTTTCCTTTCTTTCTCTCTTTCTTTCCTCTTTCTCTTTCCCTCTTTCCTCTCTTTCTCTTCTTTCTCTTTCCTCTTTTTCTCTTTTCTTTCTTTTTTTCCTTTCTCTTCTCTTCCTCTTTCCTCTAACTTTCTCTCTTTCCCCTCTTTCTCTTTCCTCTTCTCTTTCTCTTTCCTCTCTTTCTTTCTCTTCCTTTCCTCTTTCCTTTCTTTCCTCTCCTCTTTCTCTTTCCTCTAACTTTCTCTTTCCTCTTTCTCCTCTTTTCTTCTCTTTCTCTTTCCTCTCTTTCTTTCCTCTTTCTCTCTTTCCTTTCTTTCTCTCTCTTTCCTCTTTCTCTTTCCCTCTTTCCTCTTTCTCTTTCCCTCTTTCCTCTCTTCTCTTTCCTCTCTTCCTTTCCTCTCTTTCCTTTCTTTCCTCTCCTCTTTCTCTTTCCCCTAACTTTCTCTCTTTCCTTTTCTCTTTCCTCTTTCCTCTTTCTCTTTCCTTTCTTTCTCTCTTTCTTTCCTCTTTCTCTTTCCCTCTTTCCTCTCTTTCTCTTTCCTCTATTTCTCTTCTCTTTCTCTTTCCTCTTTTTCTTTTCTTCCTCTTTCTCTTCTCTTCCTCTTTCCTCTAACTTTCTCTCTTTCCCCTCTTTCTCTTTCCTCTTCTCTTTCTCTTTCCTCTCTTTCTTTCTCTTCCTTTCCTCTTTCCTTTCTTTCCTCTCCTCTTTCTCTTTCCTCTAACTTTCTCTCTTTCCTCTCTTTCTCCTCTTTTCTTCTCTTTCTCTCTTTCCTTTCTTTCTCTTTCTGTCCTCTTTCTCTTTCCCTCTTTCCTCTTTCTTTCCTCTTTCTCTCTTTCCTTTCTTTCTCTTTCTTTCCTCTTTCTCTTTCCCTCTTTCCTCTTTCTTTCCTCTATTTCTCTTCTCTTTCTCTCTTTCCTTTTTCTCTTTTCTCTTTTTCTTTTTTTCCTCTTTCTCTTCTCTTCCTCTCTTTCCTCTAACTTTCTCTCTCTTTCCCCTCTTTCTCTTTCCTCTCTTCTCTTTCTCTTT